AAAGTTAAACTTATTTTCTGACAATATATTGTTATGTTTTTTTTTTTTTGGATGTTACAGCACTTGACAATTAATTAAGATGAATGAAATATTTGTTATCATAATTATGAAGAACTTTGGTCAAATTTGAGAACTGTAAATATGTGGTTGGATCTTAGAGGGGAACAAGTCCTATCAAGGATATTATTTTACCAGAATATCAGCAGATGAGACTGTTCTTTTCTTAATTAAAAGTTTTGAATTTAAGTCCTAGATATAGAAATCTTTGTTAGAAAGTGTTCCCCATATGGGATCCTACACAATACGATTTCAAATAATCAAGTTTTAATATGAAAATCGAACACCGAGTAAAAAAATAATAATTATGTTTTAGTTTACAATGATTTAATATAGCATAAAGTTGGATAATGTCTTGACTTCAAGGAATTACCATCTCTTTGGATCTTACCTTCTTTTTTTTTTTACTGACTAACACCTCAACTACTCCACTGGGCACAACTAGTTTTACTTTTCACAATTCCTCCGACTCAATTTATATAACACTTTTCATTTTTTGAAAGTCAAACAATTTAAGTTTGATCGGAAATTTGCGCATGTAATCTTCAAATTTTTTAAAATGAAATTTATTTATTTGTAAATTATGTAAAAAGTACTATAAGTTACAATAATTAACAATTAAAATAATTAAAAGATATATGATAAATTTACGGTCAAAGATAGACTTGTTTGAATCTCAAAATTTAAAAAATGCTACATAAATTAAGACGGAGGGAGTAATTCTATTTTGCCCATCAAAACTTAGGTAGATAAGATGTATCAATTCCTTCTTTTTTTCCCTTACTTTGTTAAGATTTGAAGGACGTTTTGAAGCAATGATAAATTTATATCTCTGTGAACTATAAATTATGATTTGAGCCGTGAAATTAGTCGGCATCGATGACACTTGCGTTAGAGTAAACAAATTATATTACACTGCCTTAGAGTGTGACCTTACCCCAGGTTGTGGAAATAATGTGCAATGTTTTGTGTGTCAGACTATTTTAAATCTTTTAATCTCTGATATGATTTTAATTAATTTTGATCTTTTATGATTTTCACTTTGCTTTACGCCTAATATAATGACGTGATTTAGTGATCAATGAATGAGTGCAGAACTTGAAATTTGCGTTCAACGTCTAATAAAGACAAACATTTTAATTAATTTCTTTTTATATTTGCCTAATATTAACAACAAAGTTACTTGATATCTATTTTGATGAAAGGTAATAGATACTCAATGATCCAAAACACCACCATTAGAAAAAATAACAAATAATTTTCACCCGCTTCATGAACTACGATTAGTTGATGGTTTTAAGACTAAAGTTACATTTTTTTTCTTGTGATTTTCCATCAGATGTTCTGTATCCATATTAGAGTTCGACTATTTCATATTCACGCTGTGTAGGGCTCTTTGAGGGAAAACAATCCATACTAAGAACGTTTTTCATGTATATCCAAAATGTAAACTCAAAACCTCTGATTAAGAAAAGAACAATCGCATCCACTACATGACATCTGTAAGAATAAAGTTACTTATTAAGGTATATAATGTGGGGAGTTTGGTGTATGTTGGGTGGGGGTAAAAATGAAAAACAAGACAAAGTGGTAAAAATGCATGAAAAGCAAAAGAAGATCTCAATGATTAAGGAAAAAAAGCACTAAATGAGACTGGGTTTCCAACTCAAAAGTCATAAAGAAAGACAAAGATTGGTCTCTTATTGCTACTTATATCACTTTATAGCATCACACTCGCTCTTCTCTTCTGTTGCAAGCCATCGGCCCACCTTAGTTTAATTTTTTATTTTACACAGGAGAGAAGTATTGAAAACAATCTTGAATTTAACGTGAATTATTAGTTTTATTTTTGAATTATTGATAGTTTTAAAAATATCCCTCTATTTGACTAATTAAACTTAGATACACCTCCGATATACAACATGACATAACAAATAATCTTAAATGTTTGTAGGAGTATGCGACTCTTAATAAAAAATCGAGAGAAGTGTTGAAAATACCCCTAAACTTGACGAGAAATAGTTAAGGGTGTATTTCACTCATGTTACAAGATCATGAGTGTATTTAACGAATATTTTTAAGACTGTCAATAATTTAGAGATAAAACTAACAATTCATACCAAATTTAGGATATTTTCAATACTTTTCTTTGTACCATTAGTATAAATTATATAATTGCTAGCTTACCTCACAATCTATATTGGTTTATATCTGACTATCTGTTATCAATGCAAATCAATTTAGTAGTGTTGGTATGTTTTATTAATCCTTGACACAACCAATAATTTGTATTGATAGAACCTTAAGGAAATTAATGAAATTGACATATATCGAAAGAGAAAGGACAATAATGTTAATTATATGTCACTGTTGTAAACGATAAATAATTAATGCATTCCCTAATTTTGGGATATTCAAATGTATCCTTTAGTATCCTAAACTATGATTTTGTATAGGTTTATGTATATTGTTTTTATTACGATGTGAAAGTCTTAACTAATCTTATTTTAATTTGGAAAAATTACTTAAATACACAACACTTTTTTACCTATTCTCAATATTTTCCTACTCTTTTACTAAAATACAAAAATCCCTTATTTTCCCCCAATTCAACTTAACCGGATACTTTATTAGTTTAAGTATCCGCTCGTTATTAATTAAAGTATCCGCGCTGTTATATTATGCATCCGTCCGTTAATTAAGTATTTGTGCGGCTAACAACTTAATAATTTAAGTATCCGCCCGTTATTAATTAAAGTATCCGCGCTGCTATATTAAGTATCCACACTACTATATTATGTATCCGAAAAACACTAAAAAAGGGATTTTTGGTAATTAATGAAAGAGTAGGGAAAGGAAGTAATTTCTTTCTTATACTACGTCATTTGCCTAATTTTTAATTTTAATTTTAAGGCATGTGCATATATAAACATTTCAAATTCAAATATTCCTTCCGGTCTCAAATATTAGTAAATCATTATGGCCAATTAATTTGTTCAAAATATTTGACGTTTACAAAAATTACAAGTCATTTATTACTTTTTTAAAAAATAATTCTATTCTTCTTCTAATTAGTGATGTAATTAATTTAATGAGACGTTTCAAAGGACGTACATTTAGAAAAATTACAAGTCATTTGATACTTTTTTTTAAAATAAATAAATTATATTCCTTTTCTTCTAATTTGTGATGTGATTAATTAAATGAGGCGTTTTCAGCGGACTAACAAGAGTGTGTTGCATTAATTATACATAGATTATATCTTATACATTATTTAGTTTGGTGTATTAAAAATAGTATGAATTGCATAAACATATTTATTTACAAAGATACCCTTCACAATTATGATGGAAAAGATGTAAAAAGACGTAAAAAGACTTTGAGGGGCAATGAGCTTTTTACCTGGGCTAATGCATGCATTAAAACCCCTTGCATTACTAATACCTAAAAATCTATGGCATTAGTAGTACACACCTTAATACACAATAGATCAGAGGGGTCGTTTGATAGAGTGTATTTGGAGAAATAATGCATATTTGGTACACTTTTTCAACTTATGTATTAGTTATACACTCTATTGTGTATTACGGTGTGTATTATTAATATCACAAATTTATAGATATTAGTAATGCAAGGGATTTAATGCATGCATTAGCATGATTTAAGACCTAATTACTCCTCAAAACCCTTTTTACACCTTTTTCACTATAATTGTGGAGGATATTTTTGTAAATTAATATTTTTATGCAATGCATGCAAATTTTATTACACCAAACAAAACAATGTATAAAAATTATCTATGTATAATTAATAGAAATGTAACTAATGCAAGTATTACTAATACACTCTATTTAATATTATTTTTATACACCCTACCAAATGAATAATTCATTAGTTATATATAGAATGGAAAAAATATACAAAACAAGGTATTACTAATGCAAAAAATTAACGCATACATTATTTTTACTTATACACTCTGTCAAACGCCTTCTACATGAGTTTGGTATGGAGGAAAATACAAATAATTCTTTAAGGAATTTTTTTAAAAATAAAAATTAAAGAGTTGTCCATTCATGAGTTATTTTTTTTTAAAAAAAAGGCAAAGAAAAGAAATGAAAAGTGAAAGAAAAAAGGGAAACCTCTTATCTCACCGCCGTTTTCTGTTTACAACTGAAGTGGCCAAACTTTTATTCCACATGTTTTTTTCTTTCTCTTTTTCAGGGAATATAAGCTCTGATTTGCAGAAAATCAAAATAAAATATTTTACGTATTTAAAATATTATAAAAATCTGACAAACGTCGTGCATGAAATGATAAATTTCACATGCTTCCAGTTGTATTTCTTCTATTGTTGGTAAATTAGGATTCCCCTTAAGTACTTTTACCAAAAGAAGCAAGCTAAACAAAACAAAAATAATAATTGTATGCATGCAGCAAATGAAAAATAAAAATAAAAATCAAGAAAACAACTTATTCATTTGTTTACATTTTACAATGAGAGGTTCACGCCAGGTTGATCCACAAAGCATTCCGCGTTGATAAAATTCGAAAAGGAACTGCACCTCAAGATATAATGTAGCGATCAACCGATCATATTTATATATATATTTTATATATATTGGAAATAATTTATAATAAGTTACAGTACTTATTATTGCCGCAAGGCTCCCCTCGTATAAGAGAGTACTTATTTTTCATGAATTCAATGAGGTAAAAACAAAAATTACTGGCAGTTACACTTTTTTTTTACCAAGCATACTACTGCAGAGACTTCATCCATGATCTTCAATTATTTTTCATGCTACTTAATCCTTTCGTCGGAAAATTATATTGATGCAATAACAGAATTTCAAATGCAGTTCCATTGCTGTAATCCCACATTTAGAGACCTTCAATATGCGTCCATTTAGTTAAATACCTTTCGTTGAAAAATTATACTATTACAATTGTGGGGCTTCGAGTCTGTAGTCCCACAAACACAGATCTTCTTGAGGCCAAAATTCACTGTAATTAGAGTCATTGCTTTCAGCTCCAGCCAAATCCCATGGTGAATTGTCGTAACAGAATTTATCAAATTTTTGAGTAAGATCCATAAGAAGATCTGGCAAATCAAGAAAAGGGTCTTCGCTATTACTCCTCAAAGATGATTCTGTTGACTCTGTTTCTTCAGGAGAACAGGGCATTTCCATTAACTCATCTGTACTCTGTTTTTCCATACAATTTCTTGGTAAAATATCCAAAGCTGCAGCCTTTGTGGCTGCAGATTGAATATCTTTAGCGCATTTCGAAGATGGTTTAGGAAATTGATGAGCTAATTCAGGGAAATTGAGTAAAGCTAAGTGGCCTTTAATGGCCATTGCAGCTACATCATGTGCTCTGGCAGCCATTTCAGCAGTAGAAAAAGTACCAAGCCAAATTCTTGATTTTTTCCTCGGTTCGCGAATTTCAGACACCCATTTTCCCCAGCTCCGTTTTCGAACACCGTGGTAAATTGGGTGTTTTGAGTCATCAATTTTCTTGGTTTTTTCAGTACTGGATTTGATTTTCTTGTTGTGATTGGTTTCTTGATTTGATGATTTTAAGGTTATTGGTCTTTTTGTTAGAGATGAAGAAGAAGTTGTTTGATTGTTGTTGAAAATAATGGGAGATTCATCTTTTTCTTCCATGGGAGTTTTCTAAGTAGTAGGAGAGGAAGCTATAGAGTTGAGCTTCTTATAGTGTTTTGGTTTTTGGACTTATTGGCACTTTTTATCTTTTTTACTTTAGATGGAATAATTCCAAAGAAAAAAAAGTGAAAGCAAATACTACTACTAATTAGGTGTCGTTTGGTTTAAAATTGAGATATCTTAAAGGTTATAATTTTGGGATTAAAATCAAGATTAGAGCTTAATTAGATAACTTGTTCCACTCCAATAGGAAGTGTCATCAAGATTTGGTATGTTCAGTGATTGTTAGGCCAATTATGTTGTATAGGGTCAAGTGCGTTTAGAAGCTGAAGATACTTAGATAGATGTATGGACATACTTAGAAGAGATAAGATTAGAAATAAAGATATTCAAGACAAGGTGAGAGTGACCTCTGTGGTGGACAAGATGCAGAAAGCGAGACTGAGATATTTGAATATGTGAAGAGGACAAGAAAAGCACAAATATCTTAGTAAGGAGGTGTGAGATGACATAATATATTTTAAGCTCACCAAAAATAAGATATTAAATAAGAGAGGGTAGAGATCAACAATTAAATGAACTCCGGCAAAGTCATTGCTGATCCTTTTCTCATTGTAGCTAGGTGGATGGGGGTAAGCTTGTTTGCACGTGCACTTTTTTAAGTTTTAAGGTGCCTGTTTGACGAGACGAGAAACGTAAGATTTAGATGGTTTGAGCATATATAAAAAAGAGATACACTGATATCTCAGTAAAAAAGTGTAAGGGGTGGGCTATGATGAACCGAGGTAAAAGTGGGTCGAAGAAATATATTGGGAAGAGATGATCAAATATATAGAACATAACACACCTATAAGGTTGCAACTCATTATATTGTTTAGTTTCTTTATCAGTATTAGTATATTATCACTCTCATACTAACACATTCTTCGATTTTGATATTATCTGTTGTCTCTTTTTACTTCGACATAATTATATTATTTATTATTTCTACTGTTCTCTTCTCTATTATTTCTGCTATCACAATGGCTGGGAGTGTAATTGACAGAGACCTTGAATAGGAAGGGCACATGAACATGCACACTTAAAATGGAAACTAACTTTAAGCAACCTTTTGATTTATAAACTTTATAATAAATTAAATATGTAGTGCAATATGTCCTTTTGAAGACAAAAATGTACAATCGTGGTGTCAACATATATAGTTGGGCAGTAGCATGTTCCATTAAGTGGGGAAATTAAAGTACAAAGTTTGAAAAATCAACCATGACTTATTTTTTGTACCACCAAGTACCTGTATAAGCCTAGGGACAAATTAAATAGTACGTTTTTAAGGACAAAATTGATTACTACTCCAATTGATTATGACACAAGCTAGCAAAGTCTGTAATAAATAATTTATTCACAGTTTTTCCAGCTTGCAAAAAATCTTTATGTACATAACTTAGATTTTAGTTGTCCTGAGTTGAACAATAAACTGTCTACCTAATTTTTCATTTAGATTTAAATTATATGTACTAATGGTGTAAAAATAAATGTGTGATTATATAAGATTAGATGAGATTAAAAATGACCACTTTCGACGAATGATGACTGAAGGTGTTGAAAGGATACGAGGTAGACTTAAAATCATATGAAAATATGTTGTTTCGAAAGATCTTCAATTTCATAGAATTAATAAATAGACTTGACAAAAAATAAGACATAATAATTAAAAGAAAAAAAATAAAATATATGTATATATATTGGTGATATGTACTAGTTGGAAAATAGATTGTTGTATGGAGCTTGAAAGATATATAGGTGCTTTTTATTGGTTGATTAATGTTATTCTCATGTCATTAACCATGAGAAATCAAACACTAGAAAATAGGAAATTAGCTAAGAAATTTGTCGTTAATTATTAGTACTGAATAGAGTCCATGCCTATAGATTTTTAGATAATTAATCCGTCATTAAATTCTTGTTTGTTATTTAATTACAAAAGTCATCTATCGACTATCGTTAAATATGAATTGCGACAAATTTCTATTGTTTAACGATAAGAGTCATCCGTCGTTAATGTACTTTTTGTGTAAGACACATCATATTCGTTCTTTCAATTATATACCAATTAGTTATATTACATTATTAGAGGCAATTTTTCTTATTTCTCTACTGTTAAATTCTTCAAGTTAACATGTTTTTTTTTTCTTATAAAATTTTATTTTAAATTATTTTTCTCATTTACTGTAAGTTATTCTAAAATTTACTAAAGCTATTAGAATAATTTTTTGAAAAAATTTCATATGGATTAACTGGAAATTTTTTTTATGGAATCACGTTTCGCTTCTTTTATTCATCATTTAGTTTATGGGACTTCAATTTATTTTAAAAATATTTGTTTCATCATTTAATTTAATGGGGTTCAATTTATTTTAAAAATCATTTGTTGCCTCTTTCAATTTGTGGCACCCATGTGTCTAGGGTGGACATGGCACAAGTTTTGGTACGATAATTTTAATTTTAACAAATATTATATTATATATCATGAGAAATTAATTAATTCGATATTATTAAATTCAATATTAATATTTTGCGATAAATTGATAACAATCTCTCCCAATGTTATATTGTGGCAATAATTAATATTTGCATTTTTTTATACGGACAATTAACATTTACATGCTTAAACATGGATGTAAAACATGAGAAAAGGAAAACTGACAAATTATATTAAATGAATAACTGTAGCTTTGAAAATTGATAATAAAAAAATTGGTAAGATGGATTATAAAAATTGAGGTTATGCAGAATAAATTGAGATCTTTATGAATTTAATCTGTCTTTGTCCAATAATCACCTTACCCATCCTTTTTGCCATCCTTAAGAATAGGAGATGTTACTATTACACTACATGATTTTGGTATTTTATATGGATTACTTGTGATAGGAATATCGTTGCAAGGCATCGATATTTCAAGGAAGGAAATGGAGTAATAAAATTATCGTAAATGTATATTGTGTAACGCTACCAAATTGATGAAGAATGAGATAAATAGTTTTCTACTGCTTCTCAACACATATATTTTGTAATATTATTATTGTTATTGACATGTTGATTTTTATGAACGTTCATTTTATGTATACTCAAATTTAAGCATGGGAGAGACTGGAGATAATATGAAAATCTCTTCTTTCCACTCAAAATCCAACTGTCGGATACATTATTTCATTTCCACTCCAACATGTTTCTAACTCCTATATTTACTCCTTCAATTTCTCCCTCTTTTCACTCACATAATCAAATTAGTTATCACATTAATCAAAATTTGAATTTCAAGAGGTTTCTCTCTCTAGTCAACTAATTTCAGATCTGTAGGTACTTTCATCTTCTTCAATTTTCTTCTTCGTTTTTTCTTGTTTCATAATTTTGTCTAATACATATGGATGCTCCTTCATTTTGCATTGAGATTACCCAAATAGTTACACCTAATACGAATCGAATCTTTGATTTTGATAATTCAAAATGGACAAAAAACAAATCTAAAAGGTTGCAGGATCCTTTAACAATGGCAAATTAAAGTTCAGAGAAGGCAAAAGCGAAAAAGGATGCACATGCATCAACTTGCATCATCGAAAGCAAAGGTTGAAAAACAACAAAAAAAAAGAGGTAGAAAGGTTGCCCCTGCCATATCTCGACCTACACTATCCAGGATATGTATTTTGAACCATGTATTTTAGTATTTATTTATTTTGTTTTAAATTTATGTCTTCCCCTATTGAACTATTGGATCCACAACATTCGTTTGAGGTGGAATATGTTCAAGATATTATGCAACAAGAAAGCGACAGTTTGTAACTATTGAATCAGCTTTTCTTTTACTTACACATTTGATCTGTTTTTATAATGTATCTTCTTCTTTTTTGTAGTGACTGCGGAATGTTTTTTGTTGAATTTCTGAGCGATGAAATCAACATCCCATCAAATGATTTTCGAAGTGACTATCTTCGCACAAGATATGCAACATTGTTATGAAAGTATGGTCTCAACAAGGACAAGAGGGGATATGTTAGCGAGAATGATGATCCTACAAGGCCAAAGAGTGACTACACTCTACCAACAGAAGATGATCTTGTTAATGTAGAATAGATTTTTATGTATCGATTCACCGACAGTTGTTGATGATCTATTGTTTTTAAGATACATTAGTTAGTGTTTTTTTAGTATTTCTTCCCTTTTGAAGATACTACTTCTAAATGTGAAGAGTTTTTATGTTGAAAGTTGTTTATTTTGCTTTTCATTTTGTTTTCAATATATTTAATGCCTTGTTAAATTTTGTCTCTTATAAGTATAGTACACATCACTATAGTTGATACTATATTATTAGTTGATACAAGATTTTTCAAAAAATTATTATGTATAATGATACACGATTACTTTCGATATAACAAATTTGTATGTATCACAACACCTAATACTATATTTTTATACTTGATACAAATCAGCTAATTTTCAATATATTTAGTACCTTTTAACATTATGTCTCTTATA